CTATGGTATAAATGAATTAATTATGAAAAGTTATTTTTTTTTTTTGAAGTTATTTTTTTTATGAATTTATTCATTACTAGTAGTAGGTGCTGTTAATATCGATATACTGTTGAAATAGATGCCTAGGTTGCGTAAGTATCCAATGTTTTACTTTTTGTTTAAACAGTTTAACAGAATTAATTTTTTTTTAATTTCAGGAGGAATATGGTTATACAATTTGGGGCCGAGGAATGTTATACTTTTTTTTTCTCCTGAGCTCGTCTGACTATGTATCTCCGAATAACACTGAAGCCTATTGGCTTATTGTGTTTTACTCCATGTTAGTTTATAGCACCCACTCTGTCACCTTTGTACCTTGTACAAGTTTGTACAGATCCTTGGGTGAGCGGGTTCTATACGTTGTTGGATCAACCTAGGGTTGTCCAAAAAGAGCCTGTCTTTTGCGATCTAGAGCTTCGCATTCGCACAGTATGTGTTTGGCCGTTTCTGGTTTCTTGTGACATAGTCGGCACATGAGTTCCCCATTGTACATGCCAATTTTGTTCAAGTGTCCCTTTACTGGGGCGTGCCCAGTCATGAACCCTGTTATCACTTTCAACTGGTTTCTATTCATTGAGAGTAGTTCTCCAGTTCTTTTAGAACATGGTCTGCCTATGAAGGCTTTTCCATGTGCCTGTTTTGGGGTGTTTCCCCAATAGTTGATATGTTGTTCCCGAATCCAGTCGTTTGTGAAACCCCGGACTGTACTTTTTGGTACTCCTGGGTTTGTGTCTGGTTCCGGTGTTTCTTCTGACCCTCTTTTTGCAAGTTCGTCAGCCTTTTCGTTGCCTTCGATCCCTTGATGACCTGGCACCCAAAATAGTTTTACTCTATTTCGGTCTGCCAGTGTTCTTAGTTCTTCGATGCATTTTCATACCAGCCTCGACGTAACTTTCTGACTCGATATGGCCTTAAGCGCCGCTTGGCTGTCTGACATTATTTGAATATGCTGATTTTCGACAGCTCTTTCATTGTTCGTTTTTGCACATTACAAAATTGCGTATACCTCGGCCTGAAATACCGAATAATGTATTCCTATAGCATAGCTATGGTAAGTATCAGGGTTTTTGGAGAATACTCCTGCCCCAGTGACTTTCGCAGTCTTAGACCCGTTTGTATACCAGGATTATTCCTGTCGTTGGGCATTGGGCTCCCTTATGGTGATCTCCGCTCTTTCCTGTATTAAAACCTCTAATGGACTATTAAAAGAGTACCTCTTGGTTATGTGGTCTGATCTCATGTCTAGCACGTCTCCTGTCACTAACCTTGAGATACTCATGTGACCTGGCCTAATGTCAAGATTTCCCAGTGTATTTCCTAATCTGTAAGCACCTAATCTTGCCTCCCCTTGTATCACATAGTGAAGAGGTGGGAGTCCTATTAGTGCTTCCATTGCAGCAGTGGGGGTTGTGTTCATTGCCCCCGTTATTCCGAGGCAGGGAAGTCTTTGTACCTTGGTTAGCCTCGTTATTGCTTTCCTTTGCTGTGTCTTTGGTCACCACACCAAAGCTGCGTATGTTATTATCGGTTTCAACACCATGTTATAAAGCCAATATACCACGTCTGGTTTGAAGCACCATTTTTTTCAAAGGATCGCCTTGCCATCATTAACGAGGTTTCCGCTCTCCTGGTGGTTCTTTCTAGATGCTGGTTCCAGGTAAGTCTCGAGTCAATAATAATCCCGAGATATTTTACCTCCCCTTAAGCTGGATGCTTGCACCTCTTAGATTTAGAGGCCCTAGTCCCTCCAATTTCTTCCTGCGGGTGAATGCAATTATATCAGATTTGTTTGGGCTAATGTTTAGTCCTTCCGCCTCTGTCCATTTTTTTACTATATTTAGAGCCTCTTGCATTCGATCTCTTACTATAGTATTGTATTTTCTCTGTGCCATGATCACTAGATCATCGGCATATCCCAGGGTTCTATGTCCCTTATCTTTGGGAGCCCTAAGCAGCCCGTCCACTACAAGGTTCCACGGGAGTGGAGACAGCACTCCACCCTGTGGACATCCTCTCGCTACCAGTGCTGCTATGTTATACTTCGTTGCAATGTGTTTTTTCTTGCTCTTGGAACTATATAGTATTGATTTTGATTTTGTCTAGTTGTATAAGTATGAGACGGCTTTAATAAATTTTCGTTATGTTTATTTTGATAAACAGCTGAGGAAAAGGTAAGTGGTGTATTATAAATAATTTTTATTATATGTTTCTGGACGACTTCTAGTTTTTTTATAAAGTTGTTTGTTGCAGCGCCCCAGGCTACAATGGCATAATTAAGATTACTTTCTACTAAGGAATAGTAAATGATTCGCATGTGACTGATAGTGAGAACTTTTGAAAGATATTTAAATTTAAACATGATCTGTCTTAATTTGTTTGAAAGATGCTGAATGTGTTTATCCCATTTAAGATGCTGATCAAGATGGATTCCCAAATATTTAATGTTATCAGCGCTATGAATTTTAATTGTTTGTTCATCACACTGGATGCAGAGTTTATTAAAGACCGGCAATCCATTTATATAGGATGCGAAGGGAAAAAAGCACGTTTTTCCGAAGTTAATTGTTAGGAGTCTATTATTAAACCAATTATTAATTTTTTTAAAGTCTTCTTGTACTACTCTTTGAAGGGAGGGCCAATTTACATCGTTATAAATAACTACTGTGTCATCTGCAAAACTTACTATTTCTCCTCTCAAGTCTAATTTGAAAATGTCATTTAAGTAGCCCTAAAACTGTACCTTGGGGTATTCCATATGTAATAGGAAGAGAGTTGCTAGTTATTTTATCTATTTGAACCACTTGTTTTCTATTAGTAAGATAACTCTCAAGTAGTTTATAGGACACACCTCTAAATCCTAAATTTTCCATAATATGTAGAAGTTGCCTATGACACACCGTGTCAAAGGTATTAGCCAGATCAATAAATATTGCTAGGCTTGGGCGCGATTTATCAATAAAACTATTAAATTTAGATGTTTTAGATGTGTACAACGGCATCCTGGGTGGATCTATTTTCAACAAAACCAAATTGATTTTTTGAAAGTATGTTGTATTTATTCATAAACTTTAACATCCTGTCTTTTATAACCAGCTCAAAATTTTTTGAAATACTAGATGTTAAGGAAATCGGCCTGTAAATTATTCATATCCTCTTATTTACCTTTTTTTATATAGTGGTTTAACTAGACAGATCTTAAGACATTCTGGAAATACTCCTGTTTCAAAAGACTGGTTAATTAAATAAGCCAAAGTTTCTGCAAAACTGTTTACACCAATCTTTAACATTTCTGTTGATATATTATCAATTCCGGGAACTTTTTTATTTTTTAGTTTGGCTATAAACGATTTGATTTCATTTATATTTGTTTCTGAAAGGAATATCGAGTTTACTAGAGTTGTTTTTACTAATGGTAGTATTTTGTGCTTACTTAAATTTTCGTCAGCTAATTTTTTTCTAATATTACTAAAATGTTGCACAAATTTATTGGCAATAGTTTGTTACATTGTTATTTTTTTTTTCCATCTATAGATAATTTTAATATTTCAGTTTATTTATTTTTAGTTTTATGCACAATTTCATTTACGCATTTCCACAAATCAGAAGAACTTTTACTATTTTTCAAAATTTCAGATTGGTAGTATTTTTGTTTGGTAGTTTTTATTAAGCTATTTAAATAGTTTCTATATCTTTTGTAAATATTTTTAGTGTCTTCTGTGGGATATTTCCTCATTTTTTTATATAGGTTATTTTTATGATTTATTGAATTTACCAACCCGTTACTTATCCATGTTTTCTTTTTTTATTGGAAAATTTTTTGTACAATTGATTTTTATATCGTTTATTTTGTTTACAAAATGTTTCGTTGCCTTATTAATATTAGCACTATTATATACTTCCAACCAAGATTCCTGCATTATGTCATCATAGAATTTTTTCGTATCGAAGGTTGAAATTATTTTAGTGGAATTCTGTAAGTTCTGTTTTTCAAGTAAATTAAGTTGTGCGACAATGGAAAAATGATCGGTTATGTCTGACTCGAAAACAATTGGAATAATTTTAAAGTGATTTTCCTGATCTTTTATAAACAGATGATCTATACAAGATTTTGAATCTTTAAAAATTCTGGTATATTTATTAACAGTCATTTTGTAATAAATATTCACTCATTATATTTAAATAATCATCAACATAACCTTCATCTTTCAATATATCAATATTAAAATCTCCCACTAAAATATGTATATACGAATTATTTATATTACTCAAATAATTACTATAATATTCTTTAAAAGAATTTTCTGAAATAGGTGGTGATTTATAAAGCGCGGATAACATAATATTTTTATTTGCGAATCGAAATGAAATTTGAAGAATTTTAGTAACATTGATATCGACAACTTTATGTTGTTTTTTACTAATACTATTATACCATCATTTTGGTTTACTAATCCATAATTGTATAATATCTTGTATTCCGGCATTGAGAAAATTGTGTAATCTTCGAGTTGCCTTGTCTCCGAAAGAACAATAATGTCCATTTCATATTTTATTTCATTTAGAATTATTTTCAGTTCATCAAAATTTTTATTCATGCTCCTAATGTTCATATGATATACCTTCAAGTTTTGCATGGTGTTTGATAAAATGTTATTTACCTCAGTTATGGATTTAGCACTAAGTGTTTCAACCTTATTAATAGTAAAATCCCTAATATAGTTATCCATTTTACAATAGTTTAGTCGCACTATTTAAATAAATGTAATAAAAATGTATAATAAAATTTAATTTAAAAATAGAAGTGTATAAAAATTATATTAAATTTCGATTGGACAGAAGGGTCGTTATTAAATCTTAAATTAGTAAATATAAAAAAAAGAAAAACTAGTTAATATAGAGTGTAGGTTAAAAATTATTCAACTACAGATTTTTTTCTAGTGACCATTCCAACGTGTTTTTCTTTATTTTTCCTTAAATCTATTTTCTTTCCTCAAATTTTTCGTAGGTGTATCTTTTATTAGCTCTGATGGATTTTCAGACGATGCGTGTTGTATGATGGAAGCTAAGTTTTTTTCTATAATTTGATTTTGCTGTATGGTTGTTACAGAGTTTTCTGGAAGTTGATCTGTATTTTTGTGGATGCTAGGAGTGCTGGGTGCACTGTGTAATTGTTTATGGTTTAGATCCTCAGTTTGTGCAAATTCATCTGCTCTATAGTAGGTACCGTTAAGGAAGAGTAAGCCGTTTTTAATATAACAAATATTTTCCCTGTTTTTTCTTGCTTCTATTTTTTTATGATTGTGAGGTCGTGAGCAATACCAATATTTGTTCCTCTAAGATTTTTATTATTTAAAAATACTTCCCTTTTTTAAATTAGATAGAAATTCTAATTTATCGCTAGCATCTACAAAAAAATGGAAGCTAAACTTACGTTACAGTTGTTTTTAAAGACGATATAAAAGTAAATATTGTACTGACCTAAATTAATTCAAGAAACTAATTAGTTATGTCTATTTTAGGTATGTACCTATATCATGAAGCCTAAATTAAACATTTACCGATAGCAGTACCTGGGAGGTAAACTGAACTATGTCGACATAGTGCGGGACCTTTCCAGGGGTATACTATACTGTGAATAGTGATGTCATAATAAAAGTTGACAAAAAAATATATAACACTATGTGTTCAATAAACTTCCGAGTTAAACAACACTATTTAACTATCACGTTAGTCGTATCATTTATAGAGACATGTTGGAGGTATATGATACTATGTCATAGAAAATTTGTTATCAGAACATAGAAATATGTTACAAAAACCAACAATTCTTGTATATTAAAAAAAGAAGTTTTAATAGTTAGATTATTAGTAAACAATACATATTGTGACAATAATTAAGACTAACTGCATTTCTTATATATACACAGAAAGTATCTAAACAACATACAGTCTGCTCTACTAAAAAGTGCAGTTTACCTCCGAGATACTAATATACATATTGAATAATTTTCAAAACTTTGACTTTATCAGTCTTTTATTGTACCAACTTTTTCAGTCTATTATGTTTATAAACCTTGTTTATATTATTATTATACTCTTCATACAGTAGTCTGTGAAGAGTATTATAGGTTTACTTTGTCACTCTGTCCAATGTCACGTTTTTTCGTCTACACGATGATTCAAAAACGATAAACGTTATTAACTTCAAATTTTTAAGGAAAAATTAAATTCTATAAGGGGACATAGGCTATTGATTTTGAAAAAATCTGGTTAAAAATAGGAGTTTAAAAAGGGTTGAAATTAAAAAAATGGTTTTCAACGTACTAAAAAAACAAATATTACAATAACTAAAATATTTATTCATTAATATTTGCAGTGTTTGAAAAAAGTATGATATTGATAATAATAACTACATTTATTGCAAACCCAAATAACAAAACAGCGATATTGGTGCTTGTGCAAAGTTTTGAACCGAAGTATTAAATTATAAAATTATTGGAAAAAATTGAACACCCATTTTAAATTACTACAAGCCGCCACTGGAAGTAAGGTTATTATAGTGTTGACGTTTATTTATTGTATTTTATATTATTTTATTTACTATACAGTGAGCACATAAAGGTGAAAACACAACCTGCCTACTATAAAATTGGAGTGACCATATTTCTTTTGACTCAAAGCTGGACGAGAGAGAAAGGACCTTTTTTAGCTGCCGCAAACCAAATATAAACACAAAACCAGAGAAGAAGTCATGTAGAGATCAGATGACCTTTTTTTAGTTCCCTCTATCCAAAGATAAACACAAAACAGAGAAGCCGTGTAAATTCCAGAGGAACTTTTAGCTCCCCAAGGGGTCCTTAAAAATATAATCGTATTCGTTAATTTACTTCTGTCATTACTCAAACAGATTTTTTTAAGATAGTCCTCTAATGTATTTTAAAGATCCGTTTAAATAATGAGAGAAGTAAAGAAGAAAATATTTTTAAAGACCGTTAAATATAAAGGAATTGTTACAGAATATACCCCCAAGTGTCTTATTTGTTACGTTTCAGTAATTAAAATGCATTGGTATATCTTGCCCACACTGACAATCTGACATTAACTGTATTCGCACAAATTACCTTACTATTTGCTTACTATAACCATTAATTTTCCAAAGCATTAACGAGTATTTTTATTTCAAATAATATTGAATTCACGAATGTTTGAAAATGGTCTCGTGCTACCTTTTACGATATTATTTATTCAAAATAGTGAAATCCAAAGTATAACAAATTGTTCTGAGTATTAGGTACCTTATACCTAATAATTTGGAAATAGCTTACCATTAGAGCGGGTATTGATTTAAGGAAGGTTCTGGTCTTGTAGTCGGCCGAGTATTCGCCGACCAATTTTTTTCCTTGGCCTTCGAGTACGGCCTGTTCTAATTTTTCCACGTCTCCATTTCGGATGAGCTGCTTTATGTAGGCCGAATTGAGTTGAAGAACTATAAAGAAAACAATTATATAAATTTTGATAAAAGATACCAATTTGATATATACTCGTATAATAATAAATTTCATTAATTAATCTGCCTACCAAAATTAACCAAGAGGACAATGCATTTTAGATATAGAAAATTATGATTGTTTTGATATGTTGTATCTGATTCAAAAATATTTTTTTAATGTTGAAATTAAGTTCCAGTTATATAGGGTGAACAAAAAAATTGAAACTAATTTTTCGTGTTTGTACTAATAAGACTAGAAGGGGTCATTTTAATTAGTTTTAGAGTCTAATCGCATTACAGAAAATATTAAAAAAAATACATTTCATTCAAAAGCTTACATCCGCACTATATTCCTATACAGGGTGAACTGCAAAAAGTAATAAGCGATTTTCGATTTCCCTGAAAACGTTTTAATAGAGATCAGAGAATAAAATATTGAACCCTGCTTTTATTTGGTTACCTAATAGCTTTTTATGTAACCAGTTACACAAAACGGCATTTCGTAGCGTGTTATACACAAGATTTTCTAATTTATAAAATTGTGTTTGGCAAAAAAAAATAACTTATCATTAATTTTTGTAGGTAATTCAAATCAAAGATTTTAGAAGTTTTCTTCATTTTTATATTTTTTATTTTCTGATAATTTTTGATTTTTGATATTTTTTGATATTTTTTGATAATTTTTGATATTTTTTAATATTTTTTGATATTTTTTGATATTTTTTGATATTTTTTGATATTTTTTGATATTTTTTGATATTTTTTGATATTTTTTGATATTTTTTGATATTTTTTGATATTTTTTGATATTTTTTGATATTTTTTGATATTTTTTGATATTTTTTGATATTTTTTGATATTTTTTGATATTTTTTGATATTTTTTGATATTTTTTGATATTTTTTGATATTTTTTGATATTTTTTAATATTTTTTGATATTTTTTGATATTTTTTGATATTTTTTGATATTTTTTGATATTTTTTGATATTTTTTGATATTTTTTGATATTTTTTGATATTTTTTGATATTTTTTGATATTTTTTGATATTTTTTGATATTTTTTGATATTTTTTGATATTTTTTGATATTTTTTGATATTTTTTGATATTTTTTGATATTTTTTGATATTTTTTGATATTTTTTGATATTTTTTGATATTTTTTGATATTTTTTGATATTTTTTGATATTTTTTGATATTTTTTGATATTTTTTGATATTTTTTGATATTTTTTGATATTTTTTGATATTTTTTGATATTTTTTGATATTTTTTGATATTTTTTGATATTTTTTGATATTTTTTGATATTTTTTGATATTTTTTGATATTTTTTGATATTTTTTGATATTTTTTGATATTTTTTGATATTTTTTGATATTTTTTGATATTTTTTGATATTTTTTGATATTTTTTGATATTTTTTGATATTTTTTGATATTTTTTGATATTTTTTGATATTTTTTGATATTTTTTGATATTTTTTGATATTTTTTGATATTTTTTGATATTTTTTGATATTTTTTGATATTTTTTGATATTTTTTGATATTTTTTTGATATTTTTTGATATTTTTTGATATTTTTTGATATTTTTTGATATTTTTTGATATTTTTTGATATTTTTTGATATTTTTTGATATTTTCTTACATTTTTTGATATTTTTTGATATTTTTTGATATTTTTTGATATTTTTTGATATTTTTTGATATTTTTTGATATTTTTTGATATTTTTTGATATTTTTTGATATTTTTTGATATTTTTTGATATTTTTTGATATTTTTTGATATTTTTTGATATTTTTTGATATTTTTTGATATTTTTTGATATTTTTTGATATTTTTTGATATTTTTTGATATTTTTTGATATTTTTTGATATTTTTTGATATTTTTTGATATTTTTTGATATTTTTTGATATTTTTTGATATTTTTTGATATTTTTTGATATTTTTTGATATTTTTTGATATTTTTTGATATTTTTTGATATTTTTTGATATTTTTTGATATTTTTTGATATTTTTTGATATTTTTTGATATTTTTTGATATTTTTTGATATTTTTTGATATTTTTTGATATTTTTGATATTTTTTGATATTTTTTGATATTTTTTGATATTTTTTGATATTTTTTGATATTTTTTGATATTTTTTGATATTTTTTGATATTTTTTGATATTTTTTGATATTTTTTGATATTTTTTGATATTTTTTGATATTTTTTGATATATTTTGATATTTTTGATATTTTTTGATATTTTTTGATATTTTTTGATATTTTTTGATATTTTTTGATATTTTTTGATATTTTTTTATATTTTTTTACATTTTTTGATATTTTTTGATATTTTTTGATATTTTTTGATATTTTTTGATATTTTTTGATATTTTTTGATATTTTTTGATATTTTTTGATATTTTTTGATATTTTTTGATATTTTTTGATATTTTTTGATATTTTTTGATATTTTTTGATATTTTTTGATATTTTTTGATATTTTTGATATTTTTGATATTTTTTGATATTTTTTGATATTTTTTGATATTTTTTGATATTTTTTGATATTTTTTGATATTTTTTGATATTTTTTTATATTTTTTGATATTTTTTGATATTTTTTGATATTTTTTGATATTTTTTGATATTTTTTGATATTTTTTGATATTTTTTGATATTTTTTGATATTTTTTGATATTTTTTGATATTTTTTGATATTTTTTGATATTTTTTGATATTTTTTGATATTTTTTGATATTTTTTGATATTTTTTGATATTTTTTGATATTTTTTGATATTTTTTGATATTTTTGGATATTTTTTTATATTTTTTGAGGCTATTGTTTAGTTTCCCTGGGCTTGGATGTATCTCCATAGCGGCTATAACTGCCTCCGTGGCGTCGCTAATATTTTCCTAGTAAGCACTGGGAATGTTAGCAAAGTCCACAAATGTGTGGTTGGCTTCTTGAGTGATCTCCTGTTGATTTGATTTCATCCTAGTTCCATTTTTTTTTTTTGAAGAAATCTATATCCTTTTATGTATATAATTTATTATATTTGACTAAGCCCAATCGGGTATAAAATATTATTTTATTACTCGAAACAGTTTTTTAGTTTTTTTGGTGGACGCGCTGTGCTTATTGGCTCTAATCATTCCAAGAAAAGCAAAAAAAAGTTCAAAAAATTTATGTTTTACTGAATCTCCAATTATAATATTATTAATTTTCGTATTCTAATAAATAATCACTAATTTTCTACTGGGTTCTATACAATATCTTATTACATTACGCTAAACTAAATATAAACGTCTGCGATCAATTAATGGGACATTTTTAACAAAAGACGAAGCAAACAAGGTGACAGCTCATGTCTGTCGCAATTTCTAAACCCTTATCATTCAATTGTTTTCTCCCGTCGCTTTCGAAATATTTCAACCACTTTATGTCACGCGATAAGTCAATAAAACTTACTGTTTACGAGAAAAATGTCTTGTAGTCTTTGTTATGTTTAATTTGTTCGCACAGACAAAAATATTATTTTCATAAAAATTTAATAAGGTAGTCTAGTGTTTTTTGTCCAAATTATTGTGATTTAATCAAGTTCTCTTGGTTTTATAAAGTTAAGCTAAATAAATTAGTATTACATTAATCTAGTGAATAAAAAAGTACAACAAACCTACGATGTATAATGTAATACCCGTATGTAGGAAAACATAAACCATACTTAAAATATTATAAAACCACATACATACATGTTTAACTAAAAATAAATATAAATACCTATATAACTATATAATATTTAAATTTTTAACTTAAAAACTTGAATGACTTAAAACTCTGAAAATTTATTAACACTTTTAGATACGTTCTACTAAATTAGCTATTTCCTGTCTGAACGATTGTTTAAGAGTGGGGCATGTTCAAAAATTTTGAAATTTTTTTTATGAATAATAGAGTTGAAAATAAAGCTACAGTTTTTTTATCTATTCATTTGCCAGAGTTATGAATTTTTTAAATTTATGACGTCACCGGGAATAGACCAATAGGAGCTAGCGACACAACGTTGCCGGTTAGAAGGTTTACGAGAAGTGATGTACGTTCGTTTCTATACTCCTTCTTACTTTTAGACTTCTAAAACATCGTTAAACAAATATCTTTTAAATATATAATATCAAATGTTTTTTGAAAGTATTATTTCTGTTTAAACTTTTACCATATTTAAAGTTTCATTGTTTTAAAAGTCAGAAATTCAGAAAATGGCAAAACGGCAGCACTGTATGTGTCATCTGTCATAGTGTCTCAATCAAGAATTTATTTTGAATTTGAGTGTTTATTGTTTAATTTTGTACTTTTTATAAATATTATGACTACGAAAAAGTGTTTTGTTCCAGAATGTGATAATGATTCACATTCATCTTCAAGAATATTTATTAGTGTTCCTAGAAATTTGGAAAGAAGAAAATCAACCTTTTACTAGCGATGTTTCTCGTCAACTTTTTAATAAAAATACACCGGATATTCAAGATGTAACAGTAATTTCTGCTAATTGTCCCCTTCAAGAAATTCATAATGGGGCTACTATAAATTCTTAGGTGTATAACCTAAAAACCCTCTGGAAGAAAGTGCAGAATCTCCTGAAAGTTTTGAAGATACCGAATTTATTCATCATTTTCTGGAAGAATTAGTGATAAAGAAATAGAAATAATGTGGGTATTTAGACAAACTGGTTCCTGGATCCCATATAATGGCAGATAGGGGGTTAAAGATATTCAGCCATTACTGAAAACATGGGATGCACTTTAGTAAGGCCACCTAGTGTATCACAGAATGAAAAAAGTTCTCCAGCAGATGTACAATTAAGTAAAAGAATAGCATCTCTAAAAATACATGTGGAAAAAGTTATGAGAAGGGTTAGGCAATTTAACCTGTTAAAACCACATTCCTTTGTGAATTTTAAGCAAGTACATTTACTTAGTAATATCTGCATAATTGCTTGTTAACTTACAAGAACCTATTTGGTAAGAGTAAATATTAATTTAATAAACATTTTTTATTTGTTTTTTATTTTAATTTAC